TTTTGATTATTGATGATTGAAATAATTGTTCTTCTACATACTTAGTTGCTATCCAATTCTTTATGGAATGAAACTTAAATCCATAGCTTCCTATTTAATTCCAGTAGCTTCCTATTTAACTCCAATAGCTTCCTGTTTAACTCCTCCCTTCTCCTTATCTTTTTCAGCACAGTTCAAATTTATACTCAAGTGAAATTGTCATTAATAGAGATGGCACCATATAAAGGGAAAGCAAGTAACATTCATGTGCATATTCCTGTAGCCTGTTACCAAATGTGCTATATTAATTTCATTTAGGAATTAAATTAAATTAAATTAAACATAACCTGCTATTAACTGAATCCTGGTTCAAGGTTAAATTTCAGAGTATTTCCATGAATTAGATTCTTAATCAAAAGCCATTGTGCTCTATTCTGTTTTCTGCTCATTATCCAATTTTTCTCAAGATCTAAAGAATTATTGAGGGAAATGAGGGGAAGGCAACAAAAGGAGGTGATTTTAATATGATGTAGGTGCTGGGCTAGGACCATGGAGATCCACATTCAAATCCACTTTAGCCACAGGAACTCCACAGATCAATTTGAGCCAGTCCCTCTCTCTTGAATTCCCCCTATCCCAGCAGTGTTGGTAGAGGGGCAAAATTAAGGGAAATCCTTGCATAAGCTGCTTTGAACTCCTGCAGAAAAGTCAAGATATAAATTTATCAGAAAAATAAAATCTGGGTTTCCTCTGTATCATATTTGTAGACGATCTGTAAAAATCTGGTCTGAAATTTCACGAATTACTCAATAAGAATCCAAATTTTATGAATCTTAGGGATAATGGGGAAATTGAATAAGCAAGTTATTTTCCTTCTCTGTTTTAATACTATTGGTAATGATCCACCTGCCGGTAAGGATAAATCTAGTTCCATTATAGTCACTAGTAGCTCTTGTTACTACAGAAGTACACTGTATTGAGAAGTACAGGTCCTTAGTCATTTCAGGGTATAGTAGAATTCTCCCTTTTTAAGACTAGGGGCTCTAGGCAACCTAGCTGGAAGAAAGGTGTGGTTTTCTAGAAATAATTTTGTAGCCTTTCACTCTTCCTGTGCATCAGTGATGGGTTTCCAATTTTTTTATTACCGGTTTGCTCATGCCCGTGTGCATGTGCAGAAGCGTCCGGGTGGGTGAGAAGAGCCTCCCGCTGCCACTACTATCAGTTCACCCAAACTGGGCCAAATTGGGAGCAACCCATCTCTGCTGTGCATGTTAAAACTGGTGTTTGAATAAGAAAGACATAAGATTTTAGACATCAGCTGCTGTCAGGGTTCATTTCTATGATTTCAGAAAGTACATTAATCCTACTCACCACCACCAGCTCAAATGAGAACACTGGCATTCAGCATAGAAGAGAAGCAGTATCTCTGATAATGTTATATACAGTAGGTAGTCCTTGACTTATGACCACAGTTGGGACCAGAATTTTTATTGCTAATCAATGTGGTTATTAAGTGAGTCATGTTGGATTTTATGCCCCTTTAGCCATGGTCGTTAAGCAAATCACTGCAGTTGTTAAGTGGCTCATGCAATCATTAAATGAATCCTATTGATTTTGCTTTTTGGAAGCTAGCTGGGAAGGCGCAAATGGTGGTTACATGGCCCTGGGATGCTGCGACCGTCATAAATATATGCTGGTTGGCAAGTGTCCAGATTTTGATTATGTAACCATGAGATGCTATGTTGACTAAATATGAGGAGCGTAAAAAGTGTAACTCACTTTTTCAGTGCTGTTGTAACTTAAAATGGTCACTAAACAAATGGTTGTAAGACAAGGACTACCTGTATAGAGATTTACTTTCTGAATCTTGGGTATGTGATAAACAGAATTTTGGTGATATATATTTGAATAACCTTTGTGAAAAATATATAAGTACACATAGAAAACTAGCAGCTCAGAGGCACTTATTGCATTGAGGTATTAAATTTGCCTATCCTAAGGGCCAACTATGTGGTTATCCAGAAGTGTCTCACTAGGCCAGTGATGGCGAACCTTTTTGTAAAAGCATGTGAAAATTGTGGATGGACATGCTATTGCATGCACATGCGTGCCCACACCCACAATCCAATGCACCCTGTCCACCTGTGCATGTGTACGTGACCCCCGCGTGGGGGCGAGGGTTCTCCCTCCCCAGGCTCCGGAGGATTTCATGAAGCCTGGGGAGGGTGAAAACGGCCCCCCTAGCCCTCTGGAAGGCTGAAAATCAGCTGGGCGCCAGAGCTGATAGCTCGTGTCAGCAAATATGGCTCTGTCAGCCACCTGAGGCACGCATGCCATAGGTTCGCCATCATGGCACTAGGCACTTCACTAGAATGATAATGCTGTCTACCCATGGATCCTGTTAATTTGCCAACCATATTGTCTTTTTAATATTAGATATGAGGATGCGTTCCAGATCCACAGCTCTTCCATGGAGTTCAACCAAATGCCCTTGGAACGAGAGAATGAGCGACTGCAAGCGATGGTAAATTCTCTCCGGTCCCAAGTTATCCAGGAGAAGCAGAGAAAAGAAAGGGTGGAGAGAGAGTATACATCAGTCATCCAGGAGTACTCAGAGCTTGAGCAACGAGTTTGTGAAATGGAAAGCTGCAAATTGCGCATTAAAGAATTGGAAACTGAATTATTGGAACTCCAGCAGATGAAGCAAGTCAAGAAATATCTCCTCAGCAGAGAGGACAACCTATCAGAAACACTTCTGGAGCCATTAAACAATGCTCCTGAATCTGACTACATAGACCTTTCGGAGGAAGATGGGAGGAAAAATCATGAATCCTCCATGGCAGCTTCTCCAAACCATCCTGTCCGGAAAAGCTGTAGCGACACAGCCCTTAATGCCATTGTAACCAAGGATGCTGTGAGCCGCCATGAAGGCAATTATACACTCCATGCCAACAATGTACGGAAAAGGGGAATGTCAATCCTGAGGGAAGTGGATGAGCAATACCATGCCCTGCTGGAAAAGTATGAGGAGCTTCTCAGCAAGTGCCGTCAACATAAGGACAGCGTACGTCATGCTGGTGTCCAAACCTCGCGCCCCATCTCCCGTGACAGCTCCTTTAGAGACTTCCGGGGGGAGAATTATGAGCTGGAAGAGCTCAAAACAATGGAGAAGAGCCTTAGCAAACATGTGGAAGCGGTAGACAAACGACTAGAGCAGAGTCAGCCAGAATATAAAGCTCTGTTTAAGGAAATCTTCTCTCGAATCCAGAAGACAAAAGCAGATATCAATGCCACCAAGGTGAAAAAGAAGACTAGCAAGTGAATCTTCCCTCTTCACCTGCACCTTCAGCCCCCGATTCTTTTTAGCCCAGGAAAAATTGCCTGGCTTTCTGCCTTTGTGCTCTGGAAGCTTCTTATATTGATAGCTTGCACAGAAAAGGAGCCTGTTGGGAGTGCCTGAAAATCAGCAAGAATCCAAGTCACATTCTACTCCAAGCTGTCTGGCTCCCTGAATCTGCTGCAAAATCTATATGTTGTAGTTGTAGTTGGTATCAAAGATTTTATGAGGATTTCTTCACATCCTGCAGCAGCCAGAACGCCTAAATAGGAAATTGGGCCAACTAACCACAGCTTCACATCTGTTGCCACAGCCGCTGTTCACTTTTCTGCATGGAACATAGGATCAAGATCAGATTCCTTATAATGACTCGGAGTATCCAAAACATAATTTTAAAAAATTAAGTTTCCAAAAGCAACTCCTGAAATTCAACCCTTCCCCCATACTATATTTCCATTTTGTTTCTTTCCATGAAGAACCCATGGAATCAGATCCATCATCAGTGAGACTTTTCAATGGACAGCTCCCTATTCTGAAAGGGAATATGTTCTTCCTGTTTAAGCCATTATTTTATTGGTCAACTTTTTCAATATTTACAATGCAAGTTCATTGCAACTGGAAAAACTTGAAAAGAAATGTCAGATTGATTAATGTCTTCATCAGGCATACCTAATTGTTCTGATCATCTAATGTGTAGAGCAAACTAAACATAGGATGTCCAGTATATTTCCTCCAGTATTTATTTCAGTAAGTTGTCATCACTCATTCTGGGATTTCCAGAAGCCAAATAAATAAGTGCTATTACTGACTTGGGGAGAGAGCTCCATCTTTAGTTAGGTGTTGGTTTTTCAAGCCTTGTTGCTCAAATGATTACCCTTATTATCTTCTGTGACCTGATCCTAAAATATAATTTGCATGCCTTGCAAAACGTGAATAGGGGTGATTTATACATTGCATATTTATACACAAAGCTTTCTCTCTTCAGTCTCAGGAATCATCACTCTCCATTTCATTGAAATTAAATATTGGGCTACTTTAGATACACCATAATAAATGATAGGAATTACTGCACATACGCTTACCAGTATTACATTTCAATAATGTTTAGGGTACACATACATAAGATTATTGGCTTAGCAAGCAGTACTATACTTGAAGAAATGTTGGATCAATTTGGATATATCTGAATAAATCCAAAGTCTGTTGTTTCTTTGGAATTATAATAACATAAAATGATATTTGAATGTGCTATATTACGTTCAGCATATTACCTTCTTGTTCTTTCATCTTTAAACACTATTGTGTGATTTTTCTTACAAAGATCCTTAGACAATTATTCTTTAATGGTCAAGGTTGTCAAGTTTCACCAAGGAGATGGAGGCTCACAGATTTTTCTAATAATTTGGGCCTCTTGTTATATGTCTGCATTTCATCAAGCTAGATCTGTCCAGTTTTTATATCCCATTTCATGAACACGGTAAATAGAAGTTTAAGAAGGTAGTTGTGTGGGAAGTCAACTGTGAAGTCAAAGAGAGTGAGCATATTCTTTCTTGTGTGACCGGATTGTCATTTCATTTGCTATATTCTTGCCATGAAAAACTTTTGAGTCCTTGTGCTTAACCAAGTGAAGTCACTTTTGAAATACATGGAAGTAGTTTTGAGTTAGTCTATCCAGGAGCTATTCTTTTGAATTGGTTCTTTGACTAAATGCTCAAACCTCTTCTGTACCCTGGATGTGGTCCAAACGAGCCATACCCATGATTGTGGCTACCACTTTGGTAACCATATACAAACCTTCATGCCTTACAATAAAAAAATGAGTAATCTGTAAAAATAACAAAAGAAGTTGGTTCTCTCAAAATATTTACTTTGATCTGTAGCCATCAAAGCTGTGGCATTTTAATTTTCCTTTACTACCTTTTTACTAAGGGATTTCTGACTTTATATTTGTCCTAAAAAGTAATCTGTTTGTTGCATCAGTATTTTGGGTGGGAAAGGGCCATTGCAATCTTGGTTTTGAAAACTGTTAATGTGCAAACCAGCGTCTTGTTTGTGTAGCATACTTAAAATTAATATATTTAAAAATGCTTTATTCTGTTCTTAAATAAAAAAGAAATACCAGTACTATGAATGTTGAATTTTCCTGTACATTATGTATATTTGTTAACATTTCAGAAATAGGCTTGAACTTTTTACCTTCATTTAGACCATGAAAATGTTTTAGGCATAAAATAAAGTGGAAGGGGAACACACCAGAAAACAGTACTGTTGCTATTTTCATAATAGATATTTCCTCCAGCTACAGAACAAAAGAAAGTGTCATCTTACATTTCTGAATGCTCCAGTGGTTTGTATTATGTATTTTTAATCTCTTTGCAAATATCAGTTCTGAACAAAGAAACACCTGCAGTTTACTGTCAGATCAGCAAAATATTGATAACTTATCTTTGACCAAAAGGAATACTGGCATTAAGTGAAACTACTGTGTATTTTATACACAGGAAGGCTTACATATAAAAAGTTATAAATCCCTTCAACTAGTTCAGAACTGACTTAAAAAATAATGTTCTTTGTGTATTTTAGAAGCTTTTTATCTACTCTATATTCTTTAAAGTCCCCTTTCACTATATTTTTTATCTTTCGATTTTATGTTTCAAATATATTTATTTCTGATTTTTATATTTTTGTTGTCTTACTCCCTGTTGTCACCCTGTAGAGTTGCATGCTTTCTGCAGAGTTCAATCTGTCTTTTTTAGTTTGTTTTCTATTTTTTGTTGTGAATTTCAGACTTTTTCTTCATCTTTTGTACTTGGTTGGGGTTTTTTGGCTGGGTGTCTTAGTTCTTCTCTCTTGAATCTTTGCTCCCTCGTAGGGAAATGGCTAGTAGAACGTTTACCTCACACCAGCTTTGAGGGAAGGGAAAAGACATATCTCTTCCCACAGTTTTTTTAGCTACTCCTTTCTCGGCTGCCTCTTCTAATCGGGTCCGTCTGTCTTTTAGTTTGCCTCTTTATTTGACTCACACGCTTTGACTGTGCTTGTGCAACCTTTTCTTCCCAAGGCCTGTGAACCTCTTGTGTCCAGCAACTGCTGTTTGATTGACAATCAGGTTATCTTGACAACTAGGGAGAGCCAAGAAGGTGTGAGGAAGGAGCATAGATACTTTTGTCTGTTCAGGCAGTCTGTCCTTCCACATATATATCCATGACTTTTTACATTGGAATCCGCAAGATGTCCAGTTTAACAATCCAATTCTAATTTAATATTTTATTTTATTTGGATTTGTCAAGGCCACCCAACTCCAGCATGATTTTGGGTGGCATATAAGAAGTCCAGTACAGGTAACTAAACCCAAAAGAATTGGGACTAGCTACTCGGCCATTAAGTAAAACAGTCAATAAACAAAACCATGACGGCTTATGATCTTACTTCAGCTTTCCTTTGTTAACAAAGTTCATAAATGTGAAGATTATTCACAAAATCGCTTTTTCATCACATTGTAACTACAAATGGTCACTAAATGAGGCAATCAACCTATCCATGCATTATGAATAACTGAATACCACATGACTACCTGGATTAAAACAGTATTCCCAATATTTAAGGGGGGGGAATGCAGTGGGCACCACAGCCAGCCTACCTTCATGCCTGGGATGTCTTAAAAGAGGCTTCCAGAAATCAAGGAGACTGGGATGTTGTTCCTGAGGGCAGGGCTATGACAGAAAGGACACTTCTTCAGTCCCATAAAATGGAAACACTTCATTGATGGGACCTGTAGTGCATCCACCTTGACCAGACACTGGATAGGCAGAAACAGACAAGTGATATGTCAAGTAACCAGATCCTATCTACACCATGAAAGACTTTTAAGCATTTGATCACAAAGTGATTAGAGCGGCACAGTGGGTAGAGTGCAGGCTACTTCTGCTGGCTGTCTACAATTTGGCAGTTCGAATCCCACCAGGCTCAAAGTTGACTCAGCCTTCCGAAATGGGTAAAATGAGAACCCAATTGTTGGGGGCAATAGGCTGACTCTGTAAACTGTTTAGAGAGGGTTGTAAAGCACTGAAGCGGTCTAAGTGCTATTGCTATCACTCCAAACTACTTGCTATTACATCCAGTCAATAATAGAAATTACAAATAACAGATTTGAGGAAAATACAGGTAGTCCTCCACATACAATAGTTGTTCAAAGTTACAATGGCAGTGAAAAAAAAATTTCACACTGCCCTTGCAGCATCCCCATGGTCATGTGATTGACAACTGGTTTCATATTTATGACGGTTGCAGTGTCCTAGGGTCATGCAATCCCCTTTTGCAACTTTCTGCCACCAAAGTCAATGGGGAAGCCAGATTCATTTAACAACCATGTTACTGACTTGACAACAGCAGTGATTCACAGCAATCGAGGCAAGAAAAGTTGTGAAATGGGGGCAAAACTCAATAAATGTCTTGCTTAGCAACAAAAATTTTGGGCTCAATTGTGGTGATAAGTCAAAGACTACCTGTACGTGGAGGAGCTAAATTCTCGTAGGGCAATCTGCTAAGAGCAGCAAAAAATTTTTTAAAAATTCAGCACTTTCAATTTGGTTGGGAACTGGAAAGATTGAATAGGTTAACTTCAAAATACGCCTCAAAAGTTTTGCAATATGTCACCTTTTCACAATGTTGCTGCCAAAATCCTCACCACACAGGTTCTGTACACTCTGCCTAAGTAACCATTATTTTTGTCCTCTTAAGAGCAGAATAATTCCTGCCTCATCCTACTATCTTCAAAAATCTGTTAACTTACTTTGTTCTAGGAGCCAAAGGCCACCATTGTCAATAGTATAGTTACTAGAACCATATACTGCTAAATTAAAATTACAAGTTCAACAGAATGGGAAGGGAGGAAGATGCTATAGCACTCATTAGAAACCTTTTCCCTCTTTGCCCTATTTAAAGCTTCAGTGTCCTATATATCCCTGATCAATAAAGTATATGGTGCAGTGAAAACATAAGCTGCATTAGGTACTAGATAAGGAAGCTAAGTTGTATCACAGGCATATTCTGCATAATATTCCTATAAAGTAGGACTGGACAAACCATATTTGGAAAAATATGTCATAGATCATTAAGCTTTTTGGTTGAATGTAGTATTACGTTAAATATGTTAAAATATGCATGTCTCACATGATGTTTGCACTCTAGAAATCTCCTTTCAAAAAGGAATATATAAAAGAATGAATAATGTTCAGTGTTTTAATGTACCTAGGAATAAACTGTTGAATTCAATGAGACCTAATTCTAAATTTCTAGCATATCTTCATTTATTTAGAACATCTTCTGAAATTGTACTGTTAATACACAATTGCCTAATCTGTCTGGCTTCTACCTTAAAGTGTTCAGTCTTATGATGCTGATTTCAAATCACTCTTTCATTAATTCATTGGAATTTATTTCCTTTTACTGAAAAACACTGGTATAACATTATGTCCATGAGTGGGCAAAATGGTAAGTTTGGCATTAGTACCTTTCACCTCTTTCTTTGATGTCTTCCAGGATCCCTGCTCACCTCATTTCTTTTAAAGATTCTTTTAGCAAAAAAGAAAAGGGGGGGAGGGGGGAATCAACCAAACTCACTACGACAGTGTTTTTAATTAATAGGCAAGTTTCCAGTGTCTGCCTTTTTGTGAATGCCTCCACAATATGCTCTCAAACTTCCAGAATTTCCAGCCCTGGATACATGAAAATGTAATTTAACAGCAACCAAAATCATTCATATAGCACTGGTACATTACTTCAAAAATATTTTAATTGATCAATAAAATGCATATGGCCATACAACTTATAATGGTGACTTTCAGTGGTATGAAAAGTTAAAGCTAACAATTGAATTAATCCAAACTATAATGTTCACAAAAATACCAGCTTAAAAGAAAAAACATTAACCGAGAGGGCTCTCCTAAATTCCTGGCGCAGATTGACTTACAAAATGTTAACTGAGCATGGTCCATCTGGATTTCCAGGATGATACTGTCCACAAGGCAAGGTACTGCCACAGAGAAGGCATAACTTTTGGGTTCAACTAGATTAGATTGCCCAATGGAAAGGAACCAGAGCATATCCTCCCTCCTAGGTCCGGGCTCTAGCTGCACCGGCACCAGTACATTCCTTGCCTCTCGATGTCTTGATGGAGTGGCTCAAGCTTCACTACAATCCTTCTCCCTCCAAGTACACCCGCCGGCAATATTTCCGGCGGTGTATCCAATGGCAGGGCCAGTCAATTGCCCAATATGTCGCCGAATTGCGATCAGCCGCAATTAACTGTAAATTCCCCGATTTAGAGGACGCTCTCCTCGAACAGTTTATATATGGGCTCCTCGACATAAATCTTCACAGAAAAATCCTGGAAAGGTCAGTGCTGTCCATGAAGATAGCTGTCGACGCTGCCCAGGCTTATGAAATGGCCGGGCAGTCAACCCCCGACGTCCGCCGTTTGCCGACGTCCGCCGTTTGCCGACGTCCGCTCTGCAGGCGTTGCCCAACTCGGCCGTTCACAGCCAAATGTTGGCACTTGACCCTTGTGCCGATGCCATCTCTTCAGTCGATCGCATGAGGGCCCAGCCTCCGCGCGATGGAGGTGGTTGCCTGAGCTGTGGCGGCCGCCACTCCAGGGCTTTCTGCCGTTTCCATATGGCCGTCGGCTGCCACTGCGGAAAAAAGGGTCATATTTCCAACGTCTGCCATTCAGCCACTGGAGATGCTCGGAACCCGAGACCTCCTCCTTCGCCGGCCCAGCCTCCTGTCAGTCGCCATCAACCGCCTGGATCATCTTCAAGCCACATGAGCTGCTACGGTGTGTCTGCTCCGGAGCCACCCCTGCCCGATTGGCAAGCCGATTCAGCTGCCTCGTCATCCTATGGCGGCCAGGGTAAGATGCACCTTCGCATCTTACTCGCAGGCCGCCCCTGCAAGATGGAGCTCGACACGGGCTCCGCCCGAACCATCATGTCCTGGTACACCTTGAGGTCACTTATACCGACCCTCAAGCTTACCCAACTGGGTCCCGCTGACTGCTTCCTCCATGACTATCAAGGGAATGCCATCCCCATCCTGGGTTGCAGGCAATTCCCTGTCTCCTTCCAAAAATTCCGGGGCCCTTTGCCCCTTGTAGTCGTTAAGCCACCCTTAGCATCTTTCCTAGGGATGGACTGGTTCAGGGCTTTGGGGCTAGGCATTTCTGGTATAAATTCCCTTCAGTTAGCCTCCTCCCTGGATTCCCTGTTGTCGGAGTTCGATGACGTATTCTCCGACACCCTGGGGTGCTACATCGGCACCCCATTGCCCTCAATTTGGATCCCTTGGTGGCGCCCATCCGCCTGAAGGCCCGACGGGTCCCTTTCGCTCTTCGGGCTCGCGTGGACGCCGAGCTCGACAATGCCCATCGACCATGCCCCCTGGGAAACCCCCATTGTCTTGCCACTCAAATCCAATGGCTCCCTGAGGGTCTGCGCTGATCACAAGGCGACCCTGAACAAGGCCTTGCAAGCCCACCCGTATCCCGTGCCGGTTGTGCAGCATGTTCTGCACTCCTTGGGCCAGGGCCAGATCTTTGCCAAGCTGGACCTGGCCCAAGCATACCAGCAGCTGCCAGTAGATGAGGCCTTTGCCACCGCACAGACCATTGTGACTCACCGCGGCGCTTTCAAATGCCGCCGCCTACAGTTCGGGGTCAGTGTGGCCCCAGGGATATTTCAAGGCCTTATGGAGCGGGTACTCCATGGCATTCCGGGGGTCGTCCCTTACTTTGACGGTGTCCTGATTGCCGCCAAGGACCAATCAGGACTCGTCCAAACGCTAAGGGACGTCCTCTCCAGGTTCCGAGCTGCCGGCCTGCACTTAAAGCGCTCTAAGTGCAAGCTCAGCATGCCTTCCGTGGAGTTTCTGGGGTTCCTGGTGGATTCCCGTGGAATCTATCCCACCCCCTCCAAAGTGGAGGCCATTGCCTCCGCCCCCACAGCCACCACCAAGGCCGAGCTCCAGGCTTTCCTGGGGCTCCTCAACTTTTACTCCTCCTTTATCCTGCATAAAGCCTCGGTAACAGAACCTCTGCATCGCCTTCTTGACGCCTCTACCCCCTGGGTTTGGACAGACCGCGAAGCGCATGCGCTCGCGGCTGTCAAAACTCTATTAACCGCCACCCCTGTGCTCGTCCAGTACGACAAGCACCCACCACTCATACTGGCGTGCGACACCTCCCCCTACGGGGTGGGGACTGTCCTCAGCCACGCCTACCCGATGGTTCTGAGGCACCCATCGCGTTCTACTCCCGCACCTTGTCCAAACCTGAGCGTAATTACAGCCAGTTGGACAAGGAGGCTTCGCGGCCGTTGTGGGAGTAAAACGGTTCCATCATTATCTTTACGGCCGGCACTTCACCTTAGTGACCGACCACAAACCCCTCCTAGGCATCATCGCCGGGGACCGTCCCACCCCTACCATCTTGTCACCGCGAATGGGCCGTTGGTCGGAGTTCCTCTCCGCCTATTCATACTCCCTCATCTACCGGCTGGGCAAACAGCTGGGGCATGCCAATGCCCTCAGCCGCTGCCCCCTACCATTGCCTGTCACGGACCCTGCACCCTCGGTATCGGTCTACACCTTGACCGACGACATCACCTGCCCCCTGTCTGCCACCGATGTCTCTCAGGCCTCACGTTCTGACCCCCTCCTCCAGAGAGTTCTGGATGCTGTCAGGCGGGGCTGGACGGAGGAAACTCGCTCCGGCGACTTCCATCCGTTCTACCGCCACTGATACGAACTTTCTGCATCACAGGACTCCCTGCTGTGGGGTTCCAGGGTTGTTATACTGGCTGCCCTCCACATGCAGGTGCTCACCAATCTCCATGAAGGACACCCAGGCATAGTGGGGATGAAGGCCCTCGGCCGCAGCTATGCTTGGTGGCCCTCCATGGACACCGATATTGCGGCCTGGGTTCAGCGGTGCCCTCCCTGCCAGGCTGTCAGGCCGGCTCCCCCTTCTGTGCCTGCCCGCTCCTGGGAGATTCCCCCCTCCCCATGGAGCCGCCTCCATATCGACTTCTTTGGGCCCCTGGAGGGCCGCTCCTTCTTCTTAGTCGTAGATGCCCTTTCCAAATGGGTCGAGATCTTCCCTATGACCTATACCACGGCAGGCGCCACCATCCAAATTCTCCACTCCCTATTCACGACACACGGAATTCCGGACGTCATCGTTTCCGACAACGGGCCCCAATTCCAATCCTACTCCTTCCTCTCTTTCCTAGCTTCCCTAGGGATCAGGCATACCCCCACGGCACCCTACCACCCCGCTGCCAATGGCTTGGCTGAACGAGCGGTGCGCTCTGCTAAGGAAGGCCTTTCTAGATTAAACCACTTTCCCTGGCCACACCGCCTCCGCACCTATCTGCTAGCCCAGCACTCCACCCCCTGTCAATCCACTGGGAAAAGCCCAGCGGAGGTCCTTATGGGCCGTCGTTTACGGACCACACTGGACAGAATGCACCCCTCCTTTTCTCCCATGTCTCCAACCATATCCGATCCCCCTAGGGGATTTCTGGTGGGGGAGGGGGTGTTTGCACAGAACTTCGCGGGGGACCCGAAATGGCTGCCCGGGGTGATAACCAAGCTAACAGGGCCCTGCTCTTACAGGGTCCTGCTGGCCGACAGAAGAATATGGAGGCGCCATGTGAACCAGCTTCGGTGCCATGCACCGGCGGGTCCGCAACCTTCAACAGCCGTGCCCGATCAACAGCAGCAGCCGGGGTCTGCATACCCAAGGGCTGCTAGTCCTATCCAGCCACCGCCTGCCGGGGGCCAATCGTCTCCAGCCGCAACCACAATACCGTGAATGACGCAGCTGGGGCCTGCATGCCCATCAGCCGCCTTTCCTGCCCAGCCACGTCCAATCACGGCTTCGCCACCTCAAGCCGCCGTCCCCGCAGAGCGTCTCCGCCCACCATACAGGCCTACCTTTGTTCCACCCATCAGACTCCGGGCCCGGGCCTGCCCATCGGCCACGTCACGAAAGCAGGACACCTCCTCCTTCTTCGGAGGACACTCCCAGACTGAGAAGATCGCAGCACGTGCGCAGAAAACCTGTGTACTTACAGGAGTACGCATGCGCTATCTGGGGGGAAGGGGTGTTGTGTTGTTTCGACGCAGCCGACAGGCGGGGCCGGAGCAGCCGAAACCTGATTGGCTGGGGCGCGCCTGCCGGCTGGCAGTAACACCACCAACCACCCATGGGCCAGCCAACTGACAGCTCGGGTATATAAAGAGCTGTCAGTTGGGCTGGCGCTGTCCGCGTTCTGAAATCCTACTGTTGTTAACTGTTCGAATAAAAGCCGTTCCGTTTACCTCATGCCTCACGCCTTGATATTTAATACATGCATTTTACAGAGCAGTGAGATTTTATGAATGTCCAAAACTGCTCACATGACTTCATTCTGAAGCATCTACAGCTTCCAGGTCTTCAAGCTGCAATCCCATATAGGGGGCATAGCAATAATCTTAAACGGGAGGTTACCAGGGCATGATTCTTACGTAATTCCACTTTAGGAACACCAATATCTTGGTTAAACATCAATGAAGAGCTACAAGAAACCCTTAGCTCTTTTGCTGCCATATAATAGTTCCCAGAATTTTTGTAGCCAACATATGTATGCTTGATTGTCATGACATGTAAAGGGCGCAAGAGAACGTTGAAGCCTTTTTTCCAAACTACTACAGACATACATATTATTAAAAATAAGATACAGCTAGTCATCGACTTACAACAGTTCACTTGGTGCCTGTTCAAAGTTACAACAACATTGAATAGTGACATGACCATTTTTCACACTTATGACCATTGTAGCATCCTCATGATCATGTGATTTACACTTGGATGCTTGATAACTGACTCACATTTATAATGGTTGCAATGTCCCAGAGTCATGTAATCCACTTTTGCGACAATCAGGGGAAACCAGATTCACTTAACAACCATGTTATTAATTCAAAAACTGTAGTGATCACTTAACAAATGTGGCAAGAAAAGTCATAAAATGGGGCAAAACTCACTTAACAACATAAATTTTGGGCTCAATTGTGGTCACAAGTTGAGGGACCATCTGTGTTCTATCTTAATTAGTTTAGTAAGGGGTCCATGAATAACATAAGTTCCTCATAATAGAAGTTCCAAGCAATCCTAGTTACTGATGTTCTAGCGGCTTGCAAAAAAACCAGCCATATAGTTCATCAAAGGACTGACTTAAATTTTAAAAGTTTGATTTTAATTTTGTTACTGAATACCTAAAAATCAGAATAATAATATTTTTTCTTATGTACAAGAATGTATCTATTCTGAATTTGCAATTAAGTATCTATAAAAAATTCATGTACAAATGAAAATTATTTTTAAAAAGGAAATTTAAAATAATTCTTAAAAAAATAAAATAAATTTTCTTTTCAAAATGTTTCATTTTTCCATAATAAAAATATTTGATATGAAAGTTCTTGTAAACAAGTGCTATTGTTTTTCAGCCAACTCTGTCAAACACAAATATAATAAATTAAAACTCTACGCTGGCTTGTAATTAATGTATTATTATTTTTTTGCTTGTGTATTTAGTGGGACTCACTCCCTTGTAAATCTTTTTGTAACCTTAATCCCGTGGCATTTGAAATCCGATCTATATTCAGCCTCTTATGTTAATGTAATTTGCAGCTCAGTCCTCTGCTGTTTTGCTAAGAATTATGCTTACACGGAAACATTATTAGGAACTAATACTTTTAAAGCACAGAAATGCAGTCCCCCTCGTAAGCATTTCTACTGAACAAGCATTTTACGGTTCTGAGGGAAAACAGTGCAATTTTAAATATACCTAAGCAAATAAATAATACTTATACATAGAAGCAAACCTCGTTGATCCCCTCCATAACATCTCCACCCCGGAACAATATTTTCACGGAACGCCGGTGATAGGAAGGCGACTCCAGTCGGCTTCGTTATAGAAGCGATCGCCACACCTCAAGATGGCGGCACACTCGCTGTGCTGCTTTCGACGAATGCCGGTTCAGTGGCTTCTCTTCTGGGAGACAGCTAGGAAAATTCCGCTTCGAGGTTTAGCTTCTGGTCACTCGGCCTTCGGTTCTCAATTCCGAAGTGCATACAGTTTGGACCAACTCTATCAACCGCAGGAAAAAGAAGCCGACACTGCGAAGGTTGGGATTCGGAGGTCCAAAGGGAAATGCTTATTTAACAGTCCATCATATTTGAAAGCACCAGATTGGTAGCAGTTAACTTGGAATATAATCTGATGATGTATGCATTGCTCTGAAATTTGGTGAGAGGAGCAAATATAGTAAATAAAAAGTAGGAGAAATAAAATAATACAGGTGACTTAGAACTGGTGCTTGTATATATTCCAAAAAGGGTCTGAATGTGGTCTTATGTATTGCTTTTTTATTACTTTTCTTTTAATAGGATAAATTTATTACAAAATATTTGCAACAGTAATAATTTGGCATGCTCAACTATATGCATTTCTGTGTTACAGGATTTGGCAAGCAAGACAATTCCAGAGATTCCTGTGGGTGAGTCCCGAACATAAGTAAAATGCCATGACTTTCCTAAATTTCCTTAATATCTTTTATCTCTTTTATCTGCTTTATAAATGAGTGTAAATTTGGTCCCAAATAAATGCCATTCAACTTAATGGAATTTATTTTTGATTAGGTGTACATTGGCTATATACTGAAAATCAGAATATTTTAAGAAAGGATGGATTATTGCACAGAAGGGTCAATGGACATGTGCGAGTAGATGGCAATATAAATTTTTAAAATAAATATGCATAAAGATGAAACAACTTGACTCTACCCACAATGAAAAAATGGATGGTGATGATAAAGATGAAGATGATGACAACAATGATGATGATGTTGGAATTTGCTGAGATGGCTAAATTGACTTTTTTTATTAGAGAAAAAACATCTATGTTTATTGCTGACTGCTGACTTTTTCAGAGTATAAGACGCACCAAGATTTTGAAGAGGCAAATTTAAAAAAAAAGTTTTTACACTCTGCAGACCTCATGAAAACAGCCCGTTTTTTTAAAAGGGCATGAATAGCCTTTAGGAGGCTTGTAGAGTGCTCCGGGGGGGGGGGGAATGAGCAAAAAAACAGCCTTTTTTTTTTAGTGAAAA